TCTCTCTCTCTCTCTCTCTCTCTCTCTCTCTACTTGAGAATCTTGACTCTGAATACATCCGCTATCACCTGACTCTATCTCCTACTACTAGCAATGCGGCTATGGCTGCCTTCCTTCCCCAAAGCAGCGCTGCCCAGCAGGACTGTCGTGCATGCTACTCGCAGATAGTGCACAAGCACTTCAGTAGCACTTCCACACTTCTCACGAATGAGCAATCTGTCTGAAATGTGGCTGGCCAGTCCTTATATTGACTTGGACTGAGCTTCAACTCGTCCCAGCCTCTGCTTCTTTTGGCTTGACCTGGTATGGGTACCACATGCCCACGGCCTGTTTGCAAGGCCTGGTACTTTCCCGAATTTTCATTGGTGTGCTGCTGCCTGGGTCTGTGAGTCACGACTTTCCACCTGTGGAACATGCCTTTTGACTGTGGGATGTGACTCTTGCCTCTGGGACACGACTTTTCCCTGGAGAAGCGTCCTTTGCCTGTGGATATGGCTTTTCAATATGAGACGTGACTTTTGCTTATAGAACGCAACCTTTGCCTCTGGGATGTGACTGTTCACCGGGTGCCTGTTGGACTTGACTCCTAAGGTACACAACTATGACCTTTCTGAACTGGCCGACTTGGCCTCCCTTGGCCTGAGACCTTGACCCTGAAATTCAAATTTGGGGTCTGCATCGTGGAATGCCTTTCACTCTCGCCGGCCTAATTTCGAGGTCTCCAGAGAAAGTTACAATCAAGTATATTGATTCCTCTCCTAGCTCTCTGATACTAAGAGACTATGTGCGGTGCTGTTTCGACTAGCTCATCTCTAGTAAACCAGCGGTCTTCCGAAGGCTCTTGATAAGCGGATCTAACTTTGAATTGTCGCTGGGGCCTACCCCTGCGTCCAGATCTATAAACATCCTCTACAAATTGGTCCACGTTGTATTTGCCATCCATATCAGGAGAAATCATAGATCTTCGAGACAGAAATAGCTCATTGCTAACACAAGGGAGCAACTTAGGCATGAAACACCGGATAAGTGTGCAAATACAGAGGAATCTCAACAACGTAGGAAGGACCATCCACTTCACCAATCACGTCGAGTATCTGCCACGGTCCCCTATATGCGGACAGTAACTTTTGCGAGATATTCTTTTCTGGGAGAAACTCTTTAGACTTTATCCAGACCAAATCCCCTACAACGAACTGCAAAGGTCTGCGGTGTTTATTTACTTGTTCTATCATCTGATGCTGTGCCTTTCTGATGTTCTCTCTCACCTTCCCTAAGTCTTTCTGATATTGCACAACAAACTCTCTAGTCCCTGGTGGAAACCTTTGCACTTGATCAGGGTTCAGACAGTCAATGGGCCAGCGTGGGTGCCAACCCAAATGCAGTTCAGTGGGTGTTCTTGCTCTAGCCAATGCACAAAATTGTTATAGGCACTAGCGACCTTAGCCAGATGTTCATCCCAATCAATCTGATCTGGCCGGATGTACATACGCAGCACTTGCTGTAGCACTTTGTTCATTTTCTCGGTCTGTCCGTTTGTTTCAGGATGTCTGCCTGAAGACATAGTCAGTTTGGACCCATAGACACTCATGAGCTGTTGCCAATTCTCGCCTGTGAATCGTGTATCCCTATCACTTACAATAGTCAAGGGATGCCCGTAGTCTTTTACCCAATGATTAAAGACTCCTGAATTACTAAATCTTTCCTAGCTTCAGCAGGGAGTGGGACAAAAACAACAAACTTGCTAAATCTGTCCACTATCACCATAACCTGGCTCTTCCCATTCCTACTTCTCATCTTAGTGTCCATAAAGTATATAGACATGGAGTCTCCGAGACCCGACGGTATAGGCAGTGCTCTAAGTAAAGCAAGGGGAGGCTGTGTGGAACTCTTGTTTCTCTGACGTACTTTGCAGTCCTGAACATAGGCTATACAGTCATGTTTCATTCCAGCCCATGTATAGGACGTAAGAGGTTAGCGTTCGTTTTCCTCCAACCGAAGTGTCCCTCAGTGTCGTGGCATTCCCCTAGGATTAGACTGCGAATCTCTTCAGTGTTTGGTATGCACAGTCTGTCGTGCACGTCCGTCTTCTCAAACAGTAGTCCCTGGGTCACTCTATAATTCGGAACTTCGTGTTGTGCCATCTGCACTTTGTTAATCAACTGACTATAGACTGGATCACTAGCATAGGTGGACTTATCTTCTCTTGCAACTGGATCACTAGCATAGGTGGACCTAATCTTCTCTTGCAATTCGGCGCCTGCGTCTAAGTATGTTACTATGGCACCGAAAAAGTCAGCCCGTCTACTTAGCGCATCAGCAACAACGTTATACTTCCCTTTGATTGGCTTCAGTTCGAAGTCAAGCTGGTCAATCTCTCCAGCCCACCTTGTCAACTTAGGTGTCATTCTAGCTTGGGTCTTCAGCCAGCGAAGTGTCTCATGGTCTGAATAAACTTTGAAATGCCGTCCTAGGAGGTAATGTCGCCAGTGGTTCAAAGCTTCTCTAAGAGCAAACAACTCCCTCTCGTATGCAGAAGCAGCGACCTTCTCACTAGGCAGTCTACAGGACAAACTCAACAGGTTTGTACCCATTTCCATCATTCTGTTGGAGTACAATACCTATCCCGTATTGACTGCCGTCGGTGGTCACTATAAACAGCAAGGACGGATCAACGATCTTAAGAACCGGGTACTCTATCAAACACTTCTTCAGACGCTTAAAGGCTGAAGTACAGTCCTTGTCCCATTTCCAAACTGTCTCTTTCCTCAACAGCCTACGCAACGGAGCAACTATTACAGTAAAGTTCCTCTCGAACTTGCGGTAATAATTGGCCAGACCAAGGAATGATCCTAGTTCCCTTAGCGTACGCCGTGTCGGCCAATCTCTGATTGCTGCTATCTTAGCGTCCTCCGGTTTAATTCCATCTCCGTCCAACACATGTCCCAAGTGCAACACCTGATGCTTGGCCCATTCACACTTCTTCAGGTTCAACTTGAACTCGGTTTCACGCAACTTACTTAGCACTAAACGTAAGTGGCCCATTCACACTTCTTCAGGTTCAACTTAAACTCGGCTTCACGCAACTTACTTAGCACTAAACGTAAGTGTTGTTCGTGGTCTTCTAGCGACTTGCTGAAAATCAAGATATCATCTAAATATACAACAACGAATTTGTCTAACCTATCGCGGAAGAGTTCATTCATACAAGGCTGGAAAATAGCAGGGGCGTTAGTCAACCCAAATGGCATGACCACAAACTCGTAGTGGCCATATCGAGTTCTGAAGGCCGTTTTGTGCTGATCCTCGGGCAGCACCTCGATCTGATAGTAACTCGATTTCAAATCTATCTTCGAGAAAAACTTGTAACCCTGCACTCTATCCAGAAGGTCATCTATCCGCGTTATGGCTCTGCATTCTTTGTGGTTATCGCATTTGAGTCCCCTATAGTTTATACACATATGCAGGTCGCCTTCTTTCTTTGGTACGAACAAGACCGGTGCACCATATGGTGAAGAACTTGACTTAATCCACCCTTTCTCTATCAACTCATCCAGCTGTCTTCACAACTCATCCAGCTCTTTGGGAGACATCCGATAGATGGGGCCCTTGGGAATCCGATTACTAGGTTCTATGTCTATCCGATGCTTGGTCTCCCTCTCCACTACTCCACTCGGGGCCTCTCCCACGTCAGCGAACTCGTCTAACAGACTCTGCACATTAGGTGGTATAGGCACTTCTTCCTTTTTCCCTTCGCTAACCGATCTTTCATATGCAATGAACACTTGTTCGGCAAGGTCATTCTTGACCACGTGCCTGGCGAACGTGGGGGCACTCATACAACAAAGGGACAAACTACTCTCCATGCCGGACGCATGATATGACCGCAACTGTTCCCATACACATCTGCAATGACAGGCACACTGGAGAGAGCAGATTCACACCATAGCCATGGAGAGATATTGCACAGCGTAAGCCAAAACCAGATATAAAAATTGAGAGAAAAATGTTGCAATCAATTATTTATTACACCCCCTGCTCTCCTCCTGTCAACCGAACAACTTCAAGAATCTCAACCACGAAATCTGTTCCACCTCCAATTAACGCCCGACAATACACTTCAACGAAGCTTCACTGAAACTTCCTCTTCTCCCTACGACCTCCAAGCTCCAGTGATAGCTGACTGTTGAAAACAGCATCTCATCATTCCCTGAGCCTGTGAGTACAGGCACTGATCTGGCATGAGCCAGATACCAAGTCGCAGCGCCGCAAGAAGGCGAGCCTCGATGAAGAAGATGATGGCTGCCCTGGTATGGCAGCAACTAGCAACACGCAAGCCGCTCAAGGAAGAGAGCATCTGTTCTTCAGCCCCACAAACAGCAAAGTGATGGCAGTGACATCAGCACCTGGAAGACCTCCTACAGGTGCTGCCTCCTCAAGCAGCAGGGTGCCCCAGCTGGCTGCCCAAGTTCCCCTTCGAAGAGGAAGAAGACTGAGCGCTGGAAATAGTGCCACTCATGTACTCCCGTCGCCACTTCCGAAAAAATGAGAAAAAAAACACAAACTTTTCGGCCTCTCCCTACTTCTACCCGACTTCCCTAGACCTACAACACAACAGTCACCTACGGACCTATCTGACCGTCGAAACAGCAAACATCTACGGCCAAGCAGTCAAGATCTGGCTACATGCATCTGGATGGAAATCTAGACTATGGGGACCCAAGACTAGGACACACAAACGAGAGATCTACGGGGCCTACCAGTTTCCAGAAGAGTAGAAAAGGACAAAACAGCAAGACCTGAAGGGTCTACGACTGCCAGATAGAGACTACCAGTGACAGGTTCACGGATCAAGCCCAGTAGGACTCAAAGCTAGTTAGCAACACATACAAACTGTAGGTCACGGGATCAAGTCCCTAAGGGCTCAGAATAGGGAAACAGCAGACAAACTTAGTGTACAGCCCGCATGAGCAAGTGCAATTCATTGCAGAGATCCACTACACATTTGACATATCTGAAAATCCTAATGGTCCGGATGCATTCAAAACGTTGGACCGATTTGAACGTATCTGGCCTACGACATCGTCCAGATGCGTGTGAAACGTTTTGTAAAGAAGCGAGGCACAAAGGTGCTTGCACTGTGATGGTGGGACCCAAAAAAAAAAGAGAGAGAGAGAGAGAGAGAGAGAGAGAGAGAGAGAGAGAGAGAGAGAGAGAGAGAGAGAGAGAGAGAGAGAGAGATCGCCTTAGTAAGAATATGCTGAGCTTAGTGTGATGTACATGTGTGTTCTGTGGAACAATCATTTTTTTCTTTTCTTTTTTTATTTTGCTCTCTCTCACTCTCTCTGGCAAATCTTGGCGCCATGGATCGATTCTTTTTCCCAACGGTATCTATCCATGGGATCTGTGTTAGTCGTTAGTCTTTCTGCTCGGGAGACAAACTGATGAGAAAAAAAAAGAAAAGAAAAAGCCAGTTTGGTTTTCTTTGGCCAGTTTGGTTTTCTTTGTTGCACATTATTGTTTCTGTCTAATTTCGTTTTGACTCTAGAGTCTAGACTGTGTCTGGCAATCGTCTCTTGATGTCTTCATCACTTTCACCCACCTACAACTCTTTTCTCTTTCTTTCTGTTCATCAATATCCTTGATTTGTAAGGGGGAAAGGGAGAGAGGGTTATAGAGAGAAATTGAGGTACATAGCAAGAGAGAGAGAGAGAGAGAGAGAGAGAGAGAGAGAGAGAGAGAGAGAGAGAGAGAGAGAGAGAGAGAGAGAGAGAGAG